CAAATTTGAGTATTCTTTACTTATATGATTGTATTGTAAGAAGATTAAACCTTCTTGATGAACTAAGAAATCATCTGGAAATAGCACAGAACCTGCCAAACCCAATCTTTCTGGCTGGATATCTAGCTAGGGAAAACCATAATTCTGGACTTTAAGAACAAATATTTGACACCCAGCAAGTTCATACATTTTGAAACAAATTTGGTAGGAGTTATACTGAGATTTATAAAGAAAGAAGTTGTAAAGAAAAGAGAAGCAAGTAAGGTTGAGGGTAGAGGGAAAATTAAATAATAAAATGGCAAAGAAGATAAATTGAGGAAGAAGTTTTATAATGTGCTAGTGGGAAGTATAGTTTTCTTATTTAATTCTGAGTCAAGACTTCTTTTCTGTTACTTGAAGATAAAGTCTAAAAATAAACCTCGTGTTATTGCTGGCAGTGTTTCAGGACATGTAATTTTTTGTATATACATTACTGTGAAGTGAGCTAAGAAACACAATATATTGAGTCTTAAAATTGCCATTAACGCATTGCCTGCTCAGGCAATAGTTTTTCTATGATCTCATTCTTTCTTAACTGATCTCATCCTTTGTTTTTGCTTAAATTATCTTACTCTATAACAAGCATCTTCATGGAACTAGTATTTACTCGGTATTACTTTTTCAATGTCTTAACTTTGCTGTTTTATTTACCAAACTGAGCTAACGTCCTTTTGCTTTACGTACACCAATAGCCTTCTTTAACATTTATCTACTCACATGTTATTAGGATAAAGACCTACATAGCCAAATAAGTAATAACCAGACTTAAAAAAGTACTAAGGAGTCATAAAGATGTAGCACAACAACAGAAAATAACTGAGTTTTAAACAATACATCTTTTCAAGGGAGTTGGCTTGCAAAAACTTTTCAAAAATCACCTTGTGATCCATCTGGGTTCTTTGAGTATGTCCAGTTTAAATACCCCAAAATGAAAACGTTTGAGGAAATCCAAGTAGTGCCAGCAGACATTCTTGGGCATTGGGATGCCGCTGTTACTGTTGCTGTTTAGTTGCTGGAGTTGTTTCTGGCTCCCAGTGATTAGCACTCCCCAAGCAATTCCTGCACGTGGTTCAAAGGCTAAAGGGGGACAGGGATTATTCCCAGTAGACAGCTTGCATATAGCCACTCTATTTTAGAGGAAAGGTGAGTTTAATGGATGCAGGCCAGCTGGCCTTTGAGCTTAGCTTGTATCTTAGACTGCTCTCTGGCAGTGAGACCAGTGATTTGAAATGGTCTGCTTTGGTACTATTAAATACCTTTACCTTACAGAGTGTTTACATCCACACTGCTTATTAGAATGGGTCCCTGGCTCATGCTGGTATCATGCCTGGGGATTATTTGAGAAAATGTTAGTTGTCCTAGGACAAACAATACCAGGAACTGTTTGTTCTAATAATTTTACAGCCTAGAAGAGTCAATTCCAATGCCCAGGAAAACTCCCTGGTGCTGCTTTAGTTATATTAAGGCAATGTAGCATTAGTTAGAAACAAGCTGAGAGCGTACAGACACAGTCTCAGAAAGAGACCCTTCGTGGGTGAGCGAAGTCAAAGCAGTGAGAGCTTTGTCAAAGCCAGAGTGAGTGTTCAGGACTGAACATAATTTGCTTTGAGAAAGGAGTCAAAGGAAACCCGCAGGGATCAGGGAAAATAATTTAATAGAATTTTCAGCTTTAGAGGAAATTAAGATGCTTAATGTGAAGTATTCTTTTAAGCTTTATCTATCTCTCTCTAGTTGAATCCAAGCAGGATTCTTCCAAGTAGAACTGAAATTTCCTTGCATTGTTAATTTTGCGAAGATGGCATCACTGTAACTGTCGTTTACAGACAAACAGAATGTTGAGTGGGGAAGAGAATTTATTTAATATTGACTTGACCCTCCCTTGCCTTGTCTGTCCTTGTCTTGCCTCTCCCGTCCTTTCCTTTGGATAATACAACTCACACTAAGGGGGTTTTAACTTTTGTGTTGGCAATACGAAACCTTTGCTGACTTAGAAGCAGGTTTATGGATGAGTAGCTCTTTTCAATGAGTTTGTCACTTTTCATAAATAGAGTGGAAGTGAATTACTTTTGGGTATGAGGATGTTTTCCAAAGTTGTGAGAAAGTCCTCTGTTTAAAATGAGGGTTGGTGAGAGGAAGAGGTTATAGTTTCAAGTGCAAGTGCGGACGCATGCAACTGCTAAAAAGGTATCACTGAAAGTTTATCTGAGGGGATGGGTGTTCAGATCTGTTAGTCATTACTGATTGACACTCCTCAAAATACCACCCAGCTGGAGTTCTGCTTAAAAAGAGGTTTTGTTTTTCATGAAGCCCATCTCAGCTATATCAGCTTTGATAATTACAAGGTTATTAAAAATTACCACCAAATCAGAAGACAAAGATTTTAAGTACATTTTGGAAATGTGTGGTATTTCTACAGATAGAATTTTGCTGGTGAAAGCAGTTTTGAAATACAATGTATTGCATGCAGACTGATAGATTTTTCTGAAGTAATTTAGTACCATGGGCTGTGCTTCTGGGACAGCTATGCGCTAATGCTGTCCAGGATTTTTCCCACCAAGATTCATGCCTGATTTCAAAATACATAACTGGATCTCTTCAGCCTGGCATCCAAACCTTTATACTCAAATTAAAAGGATTCAACACCATGGCTCTAGTTTCGACTTGTTTTAAGGGAAGTACAGTAACAGTCATTTTACCCTTTTCTGTCCTTCCCCTCATATACACACAGATATTCTTAGCCTTTTTTTGTAATTATCTTTCTTTCCCCTTGCTCTGCTCCCACAAATCATATCTTAGTGTTATCTTTGTATTAAAGTTGTGCTGGAATATTTCATGTTATATTAGTAAAAATAATTAATAATTACATATGCCATTAAGATAATTAGATGAAAAATAGTTATTTCAGGATATTTGTATCCCATTAGAACTGAAATTCTGTTTCTGCTCAATTTGGCTTGCATTCAACATCCTCTGATTTTGAAAGAATAAGCAACCCGAGCATATTCCTACGCTTATGAATAAATCCATACTGTAGAATGCACATGACTAAATCCAGGCAGTCATTTGTATTGTCATCAAAGGGCATTTTTATTCTATGCCCACAAATGTTCTTGGTAATCTATGAAAGAAGCCTCTGAGTTAGGAAGTGAAAACAGGCATCTTTCTCACCCCTCGCCTTGGCAGGAGTACGACTAGTGTTCAGCAGCAGTCACCAGTGAACCCATGTAAAGGCTTGTTAAGTCTTTGATTGGCCCACTTGTACTTGCGCAGTATGACATGACCTTTAATTACACAAATACTACTTTTCCACCAGGCGTTTGCCTCATTCATTGCATAAGATAGATGAGAGTGCACTGGGAATTGAATTAAGTTGGGCAATAAAGGGAGATTAGGGATTAGGGTTATTCAGCTTAATAAGATGAGGACACCAGTGCAATTTGATGAGCATTCTTGCCACCTTTTATCTTCCAAGCCAGGCAGACAACTAGCTACTAGGTTTGTTTGCAGCCACAGAAATTTGAAAGCATGAGCGAACAGACATGCTGATTGGTCTATCTAACCCAGTATCCTGTCTCTGACAGCAGTCAAAAGTGGTTGCATATGAAAACGTTAAGAACAAGACAATACAACCTGCAGGTATTCTCCCAGCTGCCAGGCTTTTGTGGTTTAGGGATTTCCTAATCTGGAGGGGTCTTTGATGTATTAAATCTCAGTTGATTTCTCTTCACCAGTATCCCATTAAGCCCTTTAAAGTCCTTTTAATCTTGTGCCACATGCAGCCTTCTGTGGCATGGCTCATACCTCACTTCCCCTTGCTTGTCTCAAGCCTGCCGTGTGCTGGCTTTCTGTGAATGGTCCAGAGAGTAAGACCATGGTCCATTCTCATCATGCAACTCATGCTTAAGTCTTACATTCTTTCAAAAAAGCAGGATGCTAAGCAGAAGCCAGAGGATGTAGTCAGGGTCCCAGAAAGCTTGTAGTATGCCCAGAAGGCAGCCAGCCTTCACTTCTGCTGTTATCCATGGCAGCTTTGCCTCTGCCTATGCAATCATCAGATATAGACATATCCTGTGGTATTTCTGCTTCAGTGGCTCTTGGAAAAAAAAAAAAAGACTGCTGTTGGCTGAAATAGATTTCAGGAAGTGTATGAGTGGTCTTTTGGCCAAGTTGCATGCTGCGGTGGACAACAGGATTTTCTCTCTGATGCAGCCACAGAATTTCTGTGTGAGATGCTGAATTAGTCCAATGCATGAGACTTTTCCCAGATGGCCATTAATTATGTGTTTGAAATTATAGGGTTTGATTTACAGAAGTGCTGAGCACTCACAGCTGCAGTTGATGTCATTGAGAGCTGTACTTTGTACATGCAAAGTACTGATTAATGCCAAGTTCCCTGAAAAATCAGACCCTTCACGTCTTCTATGGGTCACTGCAATCAAGTGATGCTTTTGACCTGAATTTCCGTGTGTTCTGTTTTCCCTGTTTGTTACAGAGGACAGATACCTGACTGATAACTGACTCATCACAGTGTTAGATTTCTAAGTTCGCAGGCACTACTTCAAAAAGCATTACAATGCATCCCACTTAAGTTGTAACTATGTAATTCAGAGGGGGTTTCTATTCTGTGTGGGATATGAAGTCAGGATCTCAAGAAAAATGACGTAACAGGGTACAGCACAAATATCTGCCCATTCCATTGCCATTGGCCGTTCTGGGGACTGATTTCACAAAAAAATAAAATACGTAATATATACTGGTCAGATAACAGGCAGCTTTTGTTATTTACTAGAGGAGAAATTTGTGTTGCCGAAGTAGCTCTAGTTCTGGCATCTCCTATTTTTCCTGTATTTTCCCAGCACTTGTGTTTGTTAAGACAGCATTTTTGAAATATCAGGTCAACCTAAACTGATTTGCGTTTTGAAATTCTTGTAAAGCATTTTTGTTTGCATTTTGCCTTCCAGAAAACACTTGCAGCAAAAAACGCCTGGACCTGGTGTTCATCATTGACAGCTCTCGCAGCGTACATCACTACGACTTTGAAAAAGTGAAGAAGTTCATTTTAACCATCTTGCAGTTTCTGGACATCAGTCCTGATGCCACCCGCGTAGGTCTGATCCAGTACGGCAGCACAGTCAAACAGGAGTTTTCACTTAAGACATTCAGGAGGAAGCAGGATATTGAAAGAGCAGTGAGGAGAATGATGCACCTGGCAACTGGCACCATGACTGGACTGGCCATTCAGTACGCAGTGAATATCGCATTTTCAGAGTCAGAAGGAGCTCGACCTCTAAAGCAGAATGTGCCCCGAATTATCATGATAGTGACGGATGGGAGACCTCAGGATCCAGTGGCAGAGATTGCTGCTAAAGCACGCAACTCGGGAATCCTGATTTTTGCCATTGGAGTGGGGAGAGTAGATATGAACACGCTCAAGTCTATTGGCAGTGAACCACATGAAGAACATGTTTTTCTGGTTGCTAATTTCAGTCAGATTGAAACACTGACATCTGCCTTCCAGACTAAACTTTGTGGTAAGGATTTTAACTATAGTTCTGAATGCAGAGGTGAAAGTGAAACATGGAAAAAAGCATGCATTGTAATTAAACTTGGTTTTTTTTTACATGAAACCTTGTCTGTTAGAATTTACTAGCTAGACAAAATTCAGAACAGCAGTCATACATATGGGAAAAAACTAATTCTTTTGCTGAGTGCCATAAAATGTGATCTAATTCCTAGTGGTCATAAGCAGTGAGGCAAACACGCGTATCATGTTTTTTTCATTCATTGCATAATAGCAATAAATTTACAACCCTCTGCTATTTGAATATTAGATAAGTTGTTTCATCTATTGATTTTATATGTGATCTCCCTTAGTACTGGAACTTCAACTTGATAAATCATCTTTTGGTAATTTAAAAAGAACCTGGAGTTCATGGATTCCTCTTCCAAAGCTTACATATTAATTCTGTGCAAACAATTACCTCTGCCCATGTGTTGTGACTGGAAGTGAGACACAGAGACATGATAGTGGTTTTACTCCATCCATTTTAAATATGGAAAACAAGGAAAAGGCATTACAGTGATAGTATTTATTCATAAAGTAAATATTTTAATAGGTAGTAATTTACAACCTAGAAATCGCTTCCATCTGTTACTCCTTTGATAAGGAATTACCTTTCACAAATACCATGGCATATGTAATTAATTTTATTCCAGTCCGTGCACTTAATATAATTTTGTTTTTTATTTTTTCCTGAGACAGATCTGAAAGATCTTCATACAGATTTGGCATTAAGCTGAGGCATTTTCAGCAGAGTCCAGAAAAAGAACGCATGGTGGGGTTGAATGCTCACTCATCCCTAGGGACAGTTTTGCCAGAAAAGAACTGAGACTTATTGTTGAGATAGGCTGGAGAATTTTCCTTACTTGGTCTTTTCCAAAATTGTTTCAGACTAACAGGGCTCCAGCTGAACAGCATCAGCACAAAACTCCAGCTGAACAGCATCAGCACAAAACTCCATCACAGACATTCATCAGATAATAGATTTTTTTTTCCCCTGTTTCTTCTTTGCTGTATAATTAGCTGGTGTAGTAAGATACATTTAAAAACCAAGAAAGAGTAAACTAAACATGGATTGAGAGTTTAAATGGAATGAACAGCAGAATGCTTCAGAACTTCATCTTATTGAATTTTTTTAATTGCATTTTAGAAATAAATCCAGTACAAATACCACTTACTCATTTTTTTTTTTCAGATTAGGCAGTGTCCAGTAAATGTATTAGAGTTTTATAACTCACTTTTAATCCAAACACATGTGATCCTCAATAAAAACACCCCACACACACAGATGGAGGAGTATGGGAGGTGACAAGGATTGCTGCTGCCTCCTTCTGTCAGGTAATGCCTCCAGTACCTTTGTTGTGTCAGGAATTGAAAGTGAGATTCAAAAACGCACTTGACCCAGATGCAACAGAGAATTTAAGTTCTTAGATTCTTATGGATTTCAGGTTAAGGGACTCAGTTACTGATAGGATCCTTAATATTTTGCTGAGTCTGGGCTGTGAAGCAGCGTTCAGCTTGCTGAATTTCAAAAGAGCAGCGTAAGAATCCGTAGGCTCTGTTTCCTAAAGCACCTGCATTCCTCCTGGGAAACATGGTTAGTTTTTTTAAGTCCTCCCCAGTGCGTACCCAGAGGCAATATCATTGTAGTCAAACATCTGGACACCTTGTTTCTTTGCTAGAGCAATTGAAGGCAACCCTCTGGTCAAGTCTTCTGGCACGCAGCCTGCTGGCCTTCATGCTGTGGGAAAAGACCATGGCACCTGAGCTTTCCTTGTGTCTGGATTGTCTTCATGTCCATGATAATGTGTTTTCATAGTTCCTGTGAAGATTCCAGGTTTCTGGCCAAGTGATGAAGCTCTGTGGGAAAAATAAAAAGCAGACCAAGTTAGCTACTGTTTACCCATATGTGGCAGAGATCACTCAGTGCCTATCAGCTATATTCTCAGAAGATTCCAAATAAACTGTCTGTGCTCCATCCTCTTCCAAGTCAGGC